AATCGGGTTTTTTTTCCGGTTTGACTCAATTTTGCGATTTGATTTGATTTTCGGTTCGATTTTGTACACCCCTAGTGCTAAGTATTCAAGATGAAACTTTGGGCCCTAAAACTGACGTTTCACTTTTCAATATCAGCCCACAAACAAAGGTGGTTGTTGCTTTAGCATCAAATTCATTTGAACTTAATATTTTTTGTGTGGAATATAAATTAATATAGAAAAATTATTAATTGTGATAAATAGTAGACTTTGAATTCATAAGTTTAAAAATATATTCTTGTTATAAAATAACAATCTTATGCTAATTATGACTTATAAAAGAAAGATCTTATATATCATCATCGTAGGGACTCTTCTTCTATAAATAATAATCTTATGTTAAATACGACGTAGAATTATCGATATAGGACGATTACATCTTTCCCGCTTACCTTCGGTCTACTTTCTTGTCTGTTGTTGCGTTTGAGATTGATGCGCATGACTGCTTTAGACAGTTGCAGCCTTGTGTGCTTAGATACAAATACATGAGTTTTATGTGCTCAAATATAGATACAGATACAAGAGTCTTATCTACTTAAATATAAATATAAATACATGAATCTTGTATACTTAGATACATATACATAAGCTTTATGTGCTCAGATAGTACATATACATAAATTTTGTGTGCTTAGATATAAATACAAGAGTCTTGTGTGCTCAAATACAAATACTAATGGTATTCCCACGTGGAATACGACCATGGACATAGTACTTTGAGGCTTGAATGAAGGTTTTCTAATTATGATGTATTACCTTTAAACCTATAAATAGTAATTCCAACACAATTATAAGGGATTGAATTTTGAACAATATTAAAGCAATAAATTGATCTGAACTTCTTATTTACCAAGTCTTAGCTCTCAAATATTAATATATACAAACGTCCCCGAATATGATATCAAGAACGCTTAAAAGTTAAGGAGTTCAGTTCAAACACACATCATCAGAGCATTGCCACTTCATACAACTTTATTTACTTACTTTATTGTTTTCATTTATTTCTTTAACAAATACCTTTAACTGCTAATAATCAAATCTAATGAGTTAAATTAAGACGTGTGTTCTCAATCTCATATAAATTTAATTATACCATTTTTTCCGATAAACATATATTTTAAGTGATTAGTTTATTCATCTAATGGACGTTTGAGAACATACATAATTTTTTTAAATAAATTGAGTTGATATATGTTCAAGTACTGTTTAATTGGAACAAATTATATTACGTAGTACTTTAATATGTGTTCACATATTCAATTGAAATAAAATATAGTTTAATCATTTAAATAAAATAGAAATGATATATAAGTACCCCATAAACTATGATCGAAATCTCAGCGACACACCTAAACTTAAGTAGGGTCTTATTACCCTCAAAACTATTTTAAAATGAAAATAAACACACCCCAAAAACTAAATAGCGGAGAATGTGCAGTGTCACTTGAAGGCAAATTAAGACCTTAAAAATTGGACACATGTCTTTTTTTAATTGGTCTATTTATAATTAGTTAGTACACATAATTATTTACATTAAAACTTATATATATTTAATTATTTCATTTCTTTCTTTGTAAAATATTTATTTTAATTTCTTCCTCACTTTAAACTTTTTTATTTTTTTTCTCTTTCACTAATTTCTTTTCTTTTCTTTTCAATTTTAATTATTTTAAAAAAATTATGTATACTTTTTTTAAATAATAAACTAAAAAGTGTCCTCTAATTTTTAATGTTTTAAATTTTTAATTTTTAATTTTATTTCTTCACTTATTTTGATATCTCTTTAAAATTAGCTTATTTTAAATATAGATTTTTTGAATTAAATTTAAAATTAGATCAAAGGAAGGACAAGAAGGAAATTAAAAAAAAAACAAAAATCAATAGAATAATAAAGAGGAAAAATAATGAATGAAGGTCAAATAAAATGATTTAAAAAAAAAAAAATATAAGACAAAAAAATTAATTTTTTTACGTGTATTGACTTAATTTAAAAACAAGATAAAGATAATAAGAAGATTTTAAATAATTTAAAATCATTTTTAAAGTTAAAAAAAAAAAAATTACACTCGTAGCAGGCGCGTGTTGTACAATTGCAATCAACTTACCTGGTTGAAGATGCATAAATACAGAAAAAATAAGTATAGGGGATAATAAAATCCTAGCTAAATTAAATGTATCACTGTAATTTCAATTATCATCTAGGAGTACTTTTACATTATTCCAATAAAATATATGAATAAATTTAGTGAAATATTATTATACTCTTCCTTACAAAAATATTATATCATATAAATTGTAATGGAAAGTAATAAAATTAGTTCTATCTGTGACCTATTCTGGTACTCATATGACATAGACCAAAACTTAACGTGTACAACGTGTTCTTCTCTGGGGTCCTATCACACTCAATTCCAATTGCTTCTCCTTTTTGTGTTGGGACCCTCTAATATATATATCATAATCACTTTTTTCTTTTGTCGTTTGCTTCGTAACCTTTTTCCCAACGGCATCACCTAATAATCAGGAACGGAGTTAGTGTGTTGATTATGAATTTAATTATAGTTAATAATTTTAATTAAAACTTTGAATTTGTAATAATAATATACGATATTTCTTTTTGTGTTGGGACCCTCTTAATATAACATAATATCTTTTTTTTTCTTTTGTAGGTTACCTCCGAACCTTTTTCCCAATAGCATCATTCTGATAATTGGAGATAGAGCTAGTGTGTTGGTTATGAAATTAATTGGATTCAATAATTTTAATTAAAACTCTGAATTTGTAATAAGAATATTCAATCTATTTTTTTTTTGTGTTGGGATCCTTTTAATATATCAGAATATCTTCTTTTTCTCTTTTGTTGGTTGCTTCCTAACCTTTTTTTCAATAGAATCACCCTGATAATCACGAATGAGGTCAGTGTGTTGATTACAAATTCAACGGAAATCAATAATTTTGATTTAAACTCTGAATTTATAATAAGAATATTCAACATTTATTTGTGTTGGGACCCTCTTAATATATCATAATCTCTTCTTTTTCTCTTTTGTTGGTTGCTTCCTAACCTTAATTCAATAGCATCACCCTGATAATTAGAGACGAAGTCGGTGTGTTGATTACTAATTCAATCGGACTCAATAACTTTGATTAAAAATTTGAATTTGTAATAAGAATATTCAATATCTTTTTTTTTTGTGGAAACCCTCTTAATATGTCATAATCTCTTCTTTCTCTTATGTTGGTTGCTTCTTAACCTTTTCCCCAACACTATCACCCTGACAGGGCGGAGCTAGTGTGTTGGTTATGAATTTAGTTGGACTCGATAATTTTAATTAAAATTCTGAATTTGTAATAAGAATATGCCATATCTCTTTTTTGTGTTGGGACCCTTTTAATATATCACAATCTCTTCTTTTTTCTTTTGTTGGTTGCTTCCTAACCTTTTTCTCAACATCACACTGACAATCAGGGATCGAGTCAGTGTGTTAATTATGAATTCAGCCGGACTCAATAACTTTGATTAAAACTTTGAATTTGTAGTAAGAATATTTTTTCTTAGTTCCATTGCTTATTTTTTATGGTTTTGATTCTTCTTAATAAACTTTTTTGACTCTTTCCAACCTCGGTATCGGCAACCAAGACACCCTTCTCTGTCGAATGAATCTTCAAATCATCATCTTCAAACCACGACTCCATCACTAATAAAATGTATAGGTCTTAAAAGTCAAATACCATCTTATTCCTTGAGATAACTTACTCTATTAATATTCTACTGTGTATAAATATTATTACTCTTAATGGAAAATTGTTGTACCAAAAAATAATAATAGAGTATTGTCAAGTTTAGTTCAATTATTATATAACATATATTATAGTAGAAATGTACAAGTGTTTAAGAAAGGATTAAACATGATTAATGAATAAACTATGTACATTGACCTAGTGCATAATTAGTCCCACAAAGACAGCTCCAGCCATACCTACCACAAAACTTGTCACTCTGTAAAAAGAATAACTCCACTAATTAAGCTAATTATTAAGACTTAGGTTAAGGTTCATTTCGGTGTAGTGTATAAAAATAATATTTAATATGTTAATATTGTGTATAACTAATATATGTATTAGATTCTCTAATACATTCTACCAAATGACAAATAGATTGAGAATAATCAAATCAATATAAATTTAATCTTAAACTTTTTTTTTTTTTTTGATTTCTCAATCGGTGTCTGGTATCCAAATTGGAGTTCGACTAAATTCAGATTCACGATTTTAAACTTAATCGTTTTTTTTAGTTTTCCACTCGGTGTTCGGTATCACATTGGAGTTAGACTAAATCTGATTCACGCCGGAAAATCCCACATTGGGCGTAAAGTGCTCCCTAACAAAAGGGACTCTGTAGTCTGTACCCAAGGGGACTCAGATCCAAGACTTTTTGATTAAGGATGAATGAGTACTTACCGCTCTATTATAACTTTTATTAGTAATCTTAAACTTAAGCTTGAAACATTTTTTTTCATTCAATCCATAATTATAATTATGAATAATTAGTCCGTGAAACCAAAACCGAATTTTATAATTATTGGTTGTAACAACCCACCTAAATAAAATTATCCTTTCCAAAAAATTCTCTTCTTTTCTCCACTTTTTTAGTACCTTTGTCAGTGTTTAAAGGGTTTATAGTATTTATGCTGACCAAGGTTTCAGTGTTCATTACTTTCCGTATAAGATTCAATCCAAACTCATTACAATTTTTGATATAATTAACAATTCCTATCTAGAATCTTGAACAATTCCTTAAAAAATCTTTCTTTTTGGTATTTCTTGAATAAAAATCCAATCTTTTTGTGTATCACTTTCATGGTGTCTTTAGTATCTTCAACTTAGATTCTAATCTTTCTTGAATCTCCATCTGGGGTTGTTGTTTTCTTGATTCTTGATTTCTGGATCTGTTGAGATAAATGGGTGTTTGTTTGAGCAAAAGTAAACCAGCAGAGTCGAAGTCTGATGGGCATTATAGATCAGGTGGGAGTGATGGGGGTAGGGGTGGTGGGGTTGGGGTTGGGGGT